AGCACCAAAAATCACCACAAGAACACAATCCATTTCTAAAGTGGTGAAATCGACTTCGGTCCCGAACGACAATATCCCTCTCGAAAACCTTCGAAACAAATTTAATCGCATTATGACAATCCGTACATATCCTGAGATTCTTCGCGACCCGAATAGTTTCCCCCGGACGAGACCCAATAAGCCCGAAAGCAATGGCTAACTTCTCACTATGATGAGAAACCGAAGTCTCTTTCTCATCATCCTCATCAGCATCAATCCTCGCCTCCATTTTGTCTGGCTCATAACCGGCCCGTTTAATCTTTGCCATCATGTTCTCGACCGATTCGTAAATCTGCAAATACTGTGGATGCGCTTTATCCTCAGCTAAAAACTCATGAATCACACCATTCATCTCGATATAGCTAAAGCCGGGGATTTTCTTCTCAATACCGAGCTTTTTCATCTCGTTTCTCAATCTCTTAGCATCTTCCAATCGGCCCATCGAAGCATATAATTTCGACAAAAGTATGTAGTCGCCACTTTGAGCCGGCTCTAACCGAACCGCGTTCTTCAAAGCTTCCTCCCCAACTTCGACATTCTTATGAACCCTACATGACGCGAGTAGAGTTCTCCAAATCATGGCATTCGGTTTGAGAGGCATGTTTTTCACAAACGCGTGGGCCTCCTCGATTAACCCCACTCGGCCGAGCAAGTCCACTATACACCCGTAATGCTCGATTCTTGGCTCGATTCCGAAATCCCTTTTCATACTCACGAAACATCTCGACCCCTCGTCGACCAACCCGGAGTGACTACAAGCGGTTAGTACACCGACAAAAGTTACGTCGTTTGGTTTAATATTTTCCTCGAGCATCGATTTGTAATATTTAAGAGCGGTTTCCCCTCGTCCGTTACTAGCTAGACCGTGGATTAAAGCCGTCCATGTCCACACGTTCTTGGAGGAACCCATTTCGTCGAAAACTTCAATCGCCCTTTCGACAAATCCGCATTTCGAATAGAAATCGACGAGAGTTGTTCCGAGATTGATTGTTACCTTCAATTTTTTCCTTTTTACGTACGAGTGGACCCACTCTCCCGTTTTCAGAGCTCCAAGAACTGCGCAAGACGAGAGCACACTCACCATGGTCACTTCATTCGACTCGGTTTTAGAATTTTGCATGTCGCGAAACAAAGCTAGTGCCTCTTTGCACCGATTTGCACGATTAAATCCGGATATCATGGCACTCCATGCAACAACATCACGTTTGGGCATGCTATCGAACAATTCTTTCGCATTCTCCACAAGACCGCATTTTGCATACATGTCGACTATAGAAGTCACCAAGCTAATGTTTTTCATAAGCCCGTTCGCAACCGAGTACTCGTGAATCCATTGTCCCGTTTCCAAATCGCCGAGCCTCCCGCAAGCGGACAAGACAGTAACCAAAGTGGCTTCGTTAAGCCCGATGCTCAACTGCGACATTTGTTTAAAGAGTTCCACGACCTCTTCCCAATGGCCGGACCTTGAATAACCGGAAAGCATCGAGCTCCAGGCGACCGGAGTTTTCTCGGGCATTTCTTCAAACACCTGTCGGGCCAAATCAAGCCTGTTGCAGCAAGCATACATGTAAATCAATGAATTATCCACAAACTCCCTACTTCCAAAACCCCCTTTGGATTTCGCAATGTGCGCGTGAATCTGATTCCCTTCCTCGAAAGCCCCGATTTTAGAACATGCTTTGAGAACGCCGGGGAACGTGAACTCGTTCGGCGGGACAGAGCTTTCGATCATCCGCCTGAAGAGGAGAATCGATTTTTCCGGGAAATTGAATCGGGTGAAACCCCTGATCATGACGGCGTAGGCGGAGGGGTGGGGGTTCTCGAGGGAGGAGAAGATGGACTGAGCATAGTCGATGGCGGGGACGGGGAGGAGGAGGGCGGCGGACTCGAGGAGGGACTCCGCCGCCGCGGGGCGGTGGAGGAGGCGGGTCTTGATAAGGTGTGCGTGCACTTGGCGGAGGTCCCTGACGGTCTTGCATTGCTCGAGAATGAAGGTTTTGGGGTTCTCCGGCGGGCAGGGAGGAAAAGCGGCGGTTTTCGCCGGCGGAAGTTGGGCGGGGAAATTTGACAGGGCGATGACCATTTTCTTACCAAGTTGTCTATTTTTTTAAAATTTTTATGATTAATGTAGAGAATGAGATAAGGTTCTCTCTCCCGAGACTCTCCCCTCCTTTCCTCTCATTTAGACCTATAAACGAGTCGAGCAGAGCTCAAGCCTTTAATGAGTCAAGTCGAGCTTGGATCGCTAAATTAATAAGCCTGAATCGAGCTCAAGCTCGACTCGTTTATCATTAATAACGACCCGAGTTCGAGTCTCAACGAGCCGATCTCGAGTTTTAACTAGTTGAATTATATAAAAATATATTAAAAATCTCTTTTCGAGCCTAATAAGCCTTATCGAATCGAGTTGTTAACCAAACGAGTTTGAAATGAGTTTGAGCTCGACTAGTTAATCATAACGAGTAGAGCCGAGCTCGAGCCAGACTCGTTTAATTTAACAGCACTCTCACCCAAAGACACCGTTTTTTAAGCCGCCCTCTCTGTCCGTTTTCACCATGGCCCTCACCTTTCTCCGTAATTGTCCCCCTGGATTTCAGTTGTTTTGGCTTGAACTCGATGGTCCATGTTTCAACTTGCCTCTTGTGTGTAGGGTGTTGATCTCAAGTCTCTTGGCTTGCTGAAGAATGTGAAGGAGGTTTGAGACAGTACTGAAGTTGTGATGACTTCAGCGATTCTCATATTTGTTTAGACAATGAAGTTGTTTCGGAGTTCTCAAATCTTGGTATCTAGATTGCAGTTGTGCACGCCATGTGTTGTTGTTGTTGAATTTTGGTGCAAAGTGGTGGATAAATTGGCTAGATGTGTGGGAGACGGAGATGACTTTATTCTATTTAATAGTTGTTTTTGTGTGTTTGATTTGAATTTTTGGTTTTTGCTTTGTGTTTGTAGTCTCCATCATTGTAGTGTTTCATTTTCCCGTGTGGGTGTTACACAGTTTTTGTTTAGTTGGTGTTTGTTTTGTTTGGATCTAAACTACCTCTGTGTAGACCTCCCAATAGTTTCAGCTTATTTATTCGGTGTTGTTAGTTGTTTTCTAGGTTGTATTTATCGTGTTTGTCAATACAATTCTATCATTTCGAAAAAAAAAAATTGTAGTTTTTAATAAGCTTAATTGCCTA